GAGCTGCTGAGGGAAGGAGGGGGCTTCCCGCCCGCCCTGCGGCGCGGCAGGTGGTACCCCTCCGGGCTTTGCCCCTTTTCCAGGTGTTTTTCTGTGGCGTTTTTAATAAAAACAGCCGGGTAGCTGCTTTCCCCTCTTCCCCTCTCATTTTCCGTGGCTTGCTTGCTTAGGTTTTACTCGCGCCGCTCACCGGGGGTGGCCGAAGTGAAGGTGAGGGAGGAGGGGGTGGTTTTCACGACGAGGCCGGTGACTGTTGAATCTTCCCGGGGCTTTGAGGTGGTTCTCTGGGGTTTGTTGGTCGGTTTGGAAATTGAGTCGAGTTCCGTGCAGGATAACGGGGTGGTGAGAGGAAAGAAAGTCCAGATAGGAGTACTGCCAAAATTGGGGAAGAAAAATCCCGTAGAATAGTTGAGAGCAGAGGAATGCCCCCTCCCCCTGCACACAGGTGTAAATTATTACTGAGGTAAATTTAAGCACTTCATTAGTCACCTACTGCAAATGGAAAGCTAAAGAGGTACTGGTGTTTGAAATTGCAGTATAGGAATTGGAAACAAAAATCTGAGAGGTTGTATGGGTTGGTTTTTTTGTTTTCTTTTTTTTTTTTTTTTTTTTAATACTAGTCTAGCTACCATAAAGTGATATGCTGGGTCTGGTATGTGGCCAAATCTGAATTCCTGACCCACAGCTACTGTATGGAAGGGAGGTCATCTCCTCCTAAAAGAGGAAGAATGAAAAGGCTTCCCTCATAAATTATCTTTGCTCTTTTTCAGGACTTTCTAGACAGCAGCAAAATGCAGTTGACTTGACTGTGGAAAATTTTTGCTGCTTCTGAAAGCAGAACGTTAGGAGCTACAGTGGTATCACTGCTGCGTACTCTTACTTCAGCACATTATCCATTTTATGTGGACTTGCAGGTAAATCACACTAACAGCTTGAACAAAAAATCATAACTGAGGGAGAAGATGTTGTTTGAAATTAAAATATATGTTCTGTGTGATCCCATTTTTGTGAAAAACTTCTTTTTTTCTTGTTTAATGATGAATATTGCGGATAAATTGCAGAGAATGTAAGTCTGGAACGTATCTCCCTGTCATTGACCAAATATTAAAAACATGTCCTGCTTAGAAACACGTTAAAAAAGTGGAAATAATTCTATAATTGAGGATCTAATATTTTTTTTCACTCATCTTCAGTTGTATATACATGATTGCCATCCATAACCCATGGAAAGAAAGGCTTGCAACCACTGAAATAAAGTTATATTTGGGGTTACTAATAAGGCACTGGCCTTTATTTTACTCTTGGTTAAATTCAGGGTTTCTGCTCTAACTGATATGAAAGTCAAATAGATAAAACTTGTAACAGAGAACACTTTAAGAAATGGTAGGTCTCATGCCGTGCATTTACATGATAGGGTTTAATATTTAATTGAGATTTATCTTAGTTCTTGGCAGCTTTGCTGAACTGTCCGTGAGAAGGGTAGTTACACTTGAAATACAACTGCAGGGTTTGTAACCTGATGTTCTTTTGGCCAGCATTTCCTATGAGAATGAGCTAGATGCAAGCTTTCAGGCTCAAGGCTGTGTCCTGTAGGTGAGCAGAAGTCAGACAGCTCTGGGACTATTTTAGAGCAATCTGTGGAACCTGTTCTTAGTTTCTTAAGGAAGCATTTTCCAGCACCGTCCCTGCAGAATGCTAAATAAAATAATGAAAACATAATTGCTTTATCTTCTTCACAGTGCTACAACACTTCTTGTTTTCTCAAAGCTTTGTATGACCACTGATTTTGATAAACCTTGCTGGTGTATTGCTATTTCTTATAGACTATTTTAAGCTGACAAGAGTTTTTACAGGTGCTTCCATACTCAAAGGAATGATTTGAATAGAGTTCCACAGCTGGGGTTTCTGACTCTTACCCAGATAGATGTGAAATGCATTATCTTAAATTACTAGATTAAGGCATGTTTGTAAAGATATTTGGCATCTTTTTTCTGTGTTTAACTATCGGTGTCTGTATGTCTTGATTATCATCACTATTTCATCTGGGCCGTAGCTTTGCAATACTCCCATTGATAGAATTGTGAGTAAGTCAATAGCATGGGTTTCTTTGCATTGAAAGAAGTAGCGAAGATTTCTTGACCACTTACAACAGCATCTCTGTAACCTTATGAATTGAGAGATCCTGTCCCTCTTTGCTAAAGTATGTGGGGTTTTGTGTGCATGTGTATGTTTTTATAAAACTAAAATGACACTGGTGGTGATTCCATTGATATAAAGTGTTTAGATTTCAGAATGGTTTTCCATAAAAATGTCTCACTCCTGAAACTAAGCTGTTCTGAGATGAAGGATAGCTTGATGACCAGTTAAATGATAGAAAACAAAAGATAGTGATAAAGACAGTGCTCAAAGCAGGGAAAGATTACTGATGAAGTCCAACAGCCATAAGTGGTGTTCAAGGTGGTTATAAATTATTTGGAATAAGAGGGTGACAGAGTTTGCCACTGAGATGTCTCATTGTCTTTCTGCAAAACTGGCTCTGTGCTGCACAGAGCTAGGGAGGGTGAGGGAGTTAACCCTATTTCAACCTCATCTGCCCCTTTACGCATATTGCTCTGCATAACACTTACATACATAAGGGAGAAAGGTAAACCAAGGGAACAGACAGGTGGCGAAGGAGCAGTCGGCAGCCTCCTTATGTGAATAAATGAGAGCAAAAGAGGCAACTTGTGAGGGTTGTAGTCTGGGATTTCACATGGTCATGACGCTGTGCCCTACTGGCATGATCCAGCTTTCACTGGCGTAAGTGCTTCTGCGCTGACGTGGGATGTGAATCAAGCCCTTGAAGAAGATTTGTGCTTGAGTTTTTTAGGACCCCCCCTTGGATGCTATAAAGCCAAGCCTGCTTCCTGTTCCATGCATGTGTTCAGTTTTGTTCAAATACAAAACTGTTGAAAACTTTAGAAGGATGAAACCAAATGATGGAAAAGCAGGATGTGCACTATAAAAGGAAATAAAGACACCAGGTACTTGTCTGCAAGGTTTTACGACTCTAA